CTTTCTACCTTTATTTTTTTAACTTTTAATTTTCTTTTTTTGAATTTTATATTTTTAATTATTCTACTATATTGTTTCTTTTACCGTTATTTACTGCTTGTTTATTAAGTTCAGCAGTGAACCCTATTTTTTCTTTAAATTGTTTATATCAATAGACTCAATACTTCGAAGAAAAAAAAATGTTTTTCTCTTTCCTTGCTTTATTTTTCCCCTTTACTGTATATATTTTTTTCCTTTTATTCTTTTTACTATTCTTAATTGTTCCAATTTGTTTCTTAATGTCATGTTTGATAATAGGAATAAATTAAATTTACAGTATATATGGGAAGAAACTACACCCATTTCATGTTATTGTTTGATCCTGAACCTCAGCTGTAAACACAATTTTTACATTCCATGGTCTATATCAATTGAACTTTATACTTCAAAATATTTTATTTTGTCCATTTTTCTTCCTTTTTTATATGGTATTTATTTTATTCACCTATTTTCCCCTTTTTTCTAATTTTACACACGCACGCACGCACGCACACACACACACACACACATATATATATATTTATTGGGTTTTTTTTTCTTCTTTTTTTTATTTGATTTTTTTTTTTTCTTTACCCATTTTTTTTTTTTTTTAATAATTATTACTTAATAGTCACACATAATGTTACTCCATTTATCAGTCCATTTTGAAGTGAATTGTTTGCCATTGCAATTACCTTTTCATATGCCTTTTCAAGATGAAGCCTTCATTTTAAACTATTTAATGCTGGCACTTCCTTTCTACAGCGACAGGTATATAAATAATATTTAGCTTGCAAAATAACATAGCTAGTACTGAGACAAACGCATTCACCAAGACAAACTGTTTTTAGAGTTAAGGTTGTTTGTTTCTTAGTAAAATTGAATTTACCTTTTTTCAAAAGTTTTCTGTGATTTTATAATTCCAAAAAAAATATGTAATTGTCTCAAGCTCTAAATGACAAAGGGTGCAAACATTTGAATTCTCACTATTTTAGTTTTAAAAAGAAAATCATTTAAGGGCAGCATTCTATGTACAAGCCTATATTGGAAATATCTGATTCTAGTAGATTTCAGACATCTGTTAGGGTTTAAATAGATTTCTGGTCAGTCTAAATCAAAATCATTGAACATCCTTTCCCATTTGCTTTCAGCGACTGGGTTTTTAAATACATTATTTTTTACTTTGATGAGAGATAAGTTTGCATACTTTAGAGGTTTGCATCATTTCATCTAACAGATGTTCTTGAGTATTTTTTATTTTATTGTTCATTTGGAGATTTTCTTTCCAAGCTCTAGGGATTGCTTGAGTAATTTCATATTTTTCATTAAAATCAATAAAATTCATGATTTTCACATTGGAATTAACAATGTCAGCTAAAGTTACTATGCCAATTAGATTTTATACATATTTTACCATCAATTTTTATTAAAGAGTTATTCCACAGAATTTGGTTTTCAAAATTAGTATTTGGGGTTTTGTAGGTTTTTACACACCACATAGAAATAACATCTTTTATGAAACTATTTTGAATTTTAGTGATAGATTTTTCGGTACATTTCATATTGCAATACCAAAAAAAACTCCCACCAAGGTGTTTCATATAGGGCTTAAAAAGAGTTTCCAAGTACCGTTGTTGTTCAAGTTCAACAACCGTTTGATCCACATAATTTTTAGACCTTTTATAAAAGAGTTAATGTGGCACATTTGTAGCCCTCCATCAATATAATCTCCAATTATTTTTTTTTCTACTAATTTTATCTGGTTTTCCAGACCATACAAATTTATAAATTGTGGATTCTAGATTCCCAATAAAGTCAGCAGTGGGATTTGGCAAAACTGAAAACAAAAAAGCAAATTGTGACATACCCAGAGACTTAACAATGGTAATTTTTCCGAAAGGTGTCAAATTATGCATGGACCAGATTTGAAAAATTCCTTTAAGTTTTTCAAACTTTGGGATATTAAATTTAGTTCAAAAAGATTGTCAAGTTTAGTTGTGAAAGTGATGCCTAGCATACTAACTACGCCATCTGTACATCGTAAACCTGTCCCATTTAAATTTGGAGGGTTTTTCTATATACTCCTAGAAGGAGTACAACTGACTTTTCAAGATTAATATTTAAGCCAGAGTAATGTTTAAATTCTTTCAGGATATTTAGTGTGTTTTGAACTGAGTTGATATTTTTTTTAAACAGAGTTGTGTCGTCCACGTAAGGACTTACATTACCTCTATGTTTTCAATTTTGATACCTTTAATGTTGTTGCTTTTCGTATCTTTGAATGTAAAATTTCACTACATAATATGAAAAGGTATGGACTTAGGGGACAGCCCTGTCTAAGACCCCGGCTTACTGAAAAAAGGGAGGAAGAATGCCTATTGTTGATTACACATGTGGAAATATCTGAATATAATACCTTAACAAAATCAATAAAATCTTTTCCAAACTCCAATACTTTTATTATGAATGGCCACTCTAGTTTATCGAAGGCTTTTTCAAAGTCAGCCATGAGCATCATACCTTCCATGTTGTTCTTGTTTATATGTTCAATAGTGTCAAGGGTAAGTCTGATATTTTCACCTATGAATCGGTCTTTTAGGAAGCCTGTTTAGGAATGATGAATAATGTGAGGGAGCACTTCTTTAAAACGATTAGCGATCATCTTAGCAATTATCTTGTAATCTGTTTTGAGTAAGGTTATCAGCCGCCAGTGTTTAAATATGTTGGGTCTTTCTCTTTTTTTTGGTATATTATGATTTATAATACCTCTACGTTGATGCCATTTTGAAACGAGAAATTGCATGACTCTATAAAGAACTGGCTTATATCACAGAAGAAAAATTTACACCATTCAGTTGAAAATCCATCTGAACCCGGGGATTTGTTATTTTGCATTGATTTTAACACTTTGAGACATTCATTTATTGTGAATAGTCCTTCACATGATTTTTGTTGGTTTTCATTTAATTTTTGACAGTCCTTATCATTAAGGAAATTCTCAACTATACATGCTTGCGGATTTTCGGATTTGTACAAATGCTCAAAGAATTTTTTTTTCCTCTTCTAAAATATCCTTTTGGTCAGTAACTACTGTATTATCATCCCTAATAACTTTTTTGCATTGATTTCTTTTTTCTAAATTTATAAAGAAACGCGTATTTTTTTCACCCTCTTCCATATGTTGTGCATGAGATCTTGGTTTTTATTTCATATATGGTTTCGATTTCAGACTTGCATTCTTCAATGTTTTTAAGAGTTGATAATGATGGAGAGGTACCATATAATTCTTCAAGGCTATTTAATACATCTTGTAAATTATTTAACTGTTTTTTACGTTCTTTTGCAACCTCAGAAGAATATTGTATTGTTAGCGATCTAATCTTAAATTTTAGAAAGTCCCAAAAAAAGACTTGGATTTAAGTCTGGATTGTTCAGCTTTGTTTCTCTAATATAGGTTTTTACTTTGTCTATATATTTTGAATCTAGAAGAAGGGAGGTGTAGCCTCTGATAACCGTTGTACACATAAAATCAATGCAGTGGTTACTGAGATGGGTACGAAATGTCAAACTATTGCATTTTTACTCGGTCTTGGTACAGAAATACGCACCGCACTTGGAACAGAACACATGTGAACAGGCAAAATTCATAAAAGTCATTCGTAATTGTTGTTTTTTCCACTCGCTTTGAAACTATAGAACATTGGTGAAAAGTGGGGGGGGGGGGCAATTGATATGATGTCTCCCCCTACTATGAAAAGTGAGGGGACGTGTCCCCCTGTCCCCACCAATCGACACCCATGGGTTCACTGGACCTACAGTTTATAGTCCTTATCCGAGAAGACTTGTTCTACCATCAGAACCAAAGGAGGATCAGTGCCAATATTATGGCTGTAGGTTGGTACGCCCCTGCCTTAACCGCTTGACCATTCAACTCACCAAGTTAGTTTCTTTATTTCATAGGAGTTTGAAATCAACATTTACGTATCAATACATGTAGAGGTCTCAATCGAATTTAAGAAATATAATGGAGATAAAATATTCATTCAGTACTGTAGACAAGTGACCCTTTAGTACAGGAATATAATTAAAGAGAGACCTGTATGGAGTGGCAAGACTACTAGATGCAATTGAGACCTACAAAAACTTACATTACAAACTCATCTATAGTAAAGTTGTTAATCAGATTGTAAGTGTTGTTTCAGAAGATATTTCATTGTATTATGGTTTGTTGAATCAAATGCTACATATAATCTTCTGTCTGAATAAAATATATGATGTAGTCATACACTATAGTCGATAAGGTTTAAATGAAAAAACAGTGAAGTGAATAATTTTGATGTTCATGGAGAAGCATTTAAAACAAAAATTTAAAATACTAATATGGTATTTTGTGGAGAATAATTATTGCTTGTTGTGGCTGCGGTTTCTGAAGAAGGTGCTGAGGCTGCGGTGACTTAAATGTATTAGCAAATTGTCTGTAGCTGCTGTTGTTATAACTATTATAATTATTATTGATAACTGCCAACCTGTAGCTCTGGAATGACAACGGTGAAGACAGCCTTACTATAGCCAACTAAACTCAATGGATTAACAACAACCACATTTTGTAGAGCCTCGATTGTGCGGATGAATACAATTTCACCAAGATCATACAGATAGTCAAGCAAAGCAAGCTGGGCTTTATCATCCAATATCCCACAATTTGCAGCAATTGATTTCACCTAGAAAGACCAAATTATATATTAAAAAACAGGATAATCAAATGGCAAATAGTGTTAGTACGAAGCAACTTCGAACCCCTAATTACGTTTGTAAGCATACAATTTTAAATTAGAACAATACATATAAAATCTTCAACAGTATATTTAATCAATATAAAATGTCTATGTTAATCATACCTCTTCCAAAGGGCAAATTACTTTCTCCTCACTTAATTTTTGGATTTCACTTTGGAAATGCACCCAACTGAGAGGAATCGTCTTATTCATTTTCTTCATCAATTTTTCCAGTTCTTTTTTAAGCTCTGCAATATTTTCATCATTTGGTGAGCTGTTTTCCACACAAAAGTATCGTGGAAATACATGCGATTCATAGGGAGTGCCAGCTAATGCACGTTTAATTTTGTCAAACTTCTCTTTCACCTAGAAAAAGTGACACAAAAATGTTTTCTAGTAATAAGATATAGCATACAAAAACAATTACTGTATTCATATAACCGAATAAAATGGTATTTAGAGAACAAAACAAAAAATAACAAGATTGTTGCACCTAATTTAAGCACAAAGAACAGCCAAAGAATCCAACTCCGTCTCCTATAATATGAGAGCTAAACGACGCAATACTGTCTGCTGTTTGTCAGTGGTAGTGTGAACTGATCGCCAAAAATGATCTGCTGTGCGCGGTTCATTGCAATGCGTTCTTCACAGAATCGTGTTGATGAACGCAATATGAGCACTCTATAGATACCTAGGAAGCATCCTTCTATCAACATACGTTTTAGTGTTGTGGGTTATATCCTTATGTTCAAGGGAATTGGTTTCAGATTGTGCGGGCCCACAAAATTCCCTTTTCTGATTTTAGGCTTTTACATTTTTCTCTCTTTTTTTAAAAGGTTTCAATAATTTTACCCGCACGCTGAGCATACACTTTCTTCAGTATTCTCTCTAAATTTTCAGGTTTTATATTTTCTAGTGTATAACAAGTTACAGTAGATTTTTTTTGTCAAATATATTCAGTTTTTCTATGGTGGGGATGGAAAACAATCTAGCCAGATTTTCCATTTTGGTGGGTTCGGCTGCCAACAAAATAGTTTTGCCCGATTTATTCTACCCAGCATTCTTCTCCTTGATTCTTCTTCTAGCAACATTAAGGGGTCATTTTTATAATTTTTCTGGCAACATTTCAAAACGCTACTAGTGGCATAATGGTTGGGTCGATTTAAATCAAACTTGGTCAACATAACTGAGTGGTGCCATGGGTGTTCACCACTTGGAGTCAAAGGTCACACTGGGGTTATATAAGGTAGACACAACCAAAATCTTTTAAAAGATTCTGGTTACTTCTGTCACAAGTAACATAGCAGAGTCTTGTTCTTGGTACAAATGCATTGGCTTAAGGTCATCTATAATGGTGTTCAGGGATTTGGGGTCAAAGGTGACTAAGGGATCATTTTTTTTTTGTAAACGGTTCGGCGAATTTCAATCAAACTTGGTTGGTAGTAGTTCAGTGACATTTTCCATATATGGTGTGTTCAATGCTTGGGACCAAAGGCCACACATGGGTAATTGTGGTGAAAAAAAAAACAAAAAAAAAAATAATAAAACATCCTATTACATTTCACATTTAATCATTAGCAGAAATGGTATCCCATTACAAGCATTTCCTAAAGATGTGAAACTTCTAAAAATTAACTAAACATAATAAGGCAAAAAATGGGACAATAATACATGAGTTGGTCTCATATTATTTATGGCACTTGCATTGTCACCACATTATATTGCAATTTAGGACAGGCAAGCGTGTTAATGATTTTTTTTAAATATTTAGCAAGTATATTTACGCTGATTTGGGAGGAATCTCACTCTTCTTTAAGAGCCATATATTAAGTGAGTTTCATTATGTCTTATATGTTGTGCAGATTCAGAAGTGTGAATTAAGGCTTCTGGTAATTCTCTTTTGTAATATTGAAACTAAAAAGTTTAATGTCTTCCATATAAATTGAATATAGTCGGCACTAATTGTTTCTGTTTTAACAGAGGCAGTAAAGAATGCTGAAAAATATTCTTACAAAGTATTTCGTGCTCTTTTCCATAATAAATGGAGACGATTTATGCTGTACGTTATGGTAATTCCCCATGCAATTATGCAGTATAAAAAAATGGGCAAACTGTGTTCTAATTTTTCATTAGTGCATGGTTTGCTCAATAATTTTCAGTTCGTGTGCAACAGGTCAAAACAACTTGTACAAAGTATCACACACAACGGTAAATATATTGTAGGCTAGTATTTTTACACCAAGCACTACGACATGCGCCTGCAGAAAAAGGGAGGACAGACATTCGCCCAACGTCAATTGCTTACAAGTGGGAATTGAAAACATTGCATTCATAGAAAAAGGTCAGCAAGAACATCATAGAAAGTCATTTCAAATTTAATATCTTATATGCAAAATTCAGACTTCCTTGCATTAATGGACACAAACTAAAATACTTAAAGTTTATAAAGAAATAAAACAGACTGTATAATAAGTCTATTTTATTTTTCTAGGCCTTGTTGTGGGTGTGATCACCAATCAAGCATTTCCCATTAGACCAACCCGCCCTCGATAAACGTTAGATTATGATAAGCGGCGATCTTCTGATCTGTGCGTCACCATGGTGTTCCTATTAAAAACCCATTTAGCACTGTTGCTTTCAAGGTGTTGGGAGTGTTTGTCAAAAAGCTCATTGACCAATAAACTTGTAGTTGAAATCGTGACGTTGCCATCTCTGGTAAGGGAGCAGTGACCGGAAATCTGTGACGTAGCGTCACTCTCATTAGCCAGTGAACGCAAAGTTGAAATCAGTGCTTAGCTTTACTTGACATCATTTTAATTACGAGATGTTACATAATACACGATGTCGTGTATTTGATTGCTTTGAGTATGTATATACTTTCTTACATTGTCTATAATACAATTACTAAAGTTAACGATACATCAATTGGTCTTTGGAAAAATCCGCGGTATAAATCATAACGTATAGGCCTACAGTAACTCCAATGACAGGAGTATTCTCTGATTTATATCAAACTCAAAATCAGTTTTCAAATACCAAATTTAATTTAATAAAGTGGAATAGAAAGAGAAAAAAAACGTTGAAATTTAAAAGTTTTCATGTAAATTAAAATCACAAATGTCCTAGTACACGTAACGTGTCATTGCATGAAAAAAAAGTCCATTCAGGCTTTCTTGGGTGATCCATAGTTCAAGCAAGTGCTGCTATATAATTAAAAGCAAAATTAGAAAGCAAGAATACATGTTTCCTATGATAGTTAATTCATATCCATTTTATATCAACATTAATTTACAAACTTTCTATTATTAACCAGTTTCCTGGTAAATGAACATAAACTATCTGAAGCGGAAAAAATACGACTTTATTTTATCCAACATACTTCAATAATTAATTGATAGCATTAGAATCACGTACGAAATGTTAAACTAGTACATTTCTTACTATATAAATAATTACACGACAACAGTTGTGGCAAAAGTTATACAAACCAGGAACACCAGTAACCAGTAATTTTACGACAAGAATTCATTTTGCTTCAAATTGCACTGGTTTATAATTAGACCCTTCATAAGTATATTAATATTATGTATTCCATATAACGGTACAAATGCTCAGATGCAAACACTGCAGCTAACTTACCCGGCTTATCGACAACTTGAAAACGAAATTCAGTTAATATTAAGGGAACACTTTTCTGCGAAATGAGGGGAAATATATCTTTTAACACTACGGCCAAACCTTGTTACGGGGACACCCTTAATATTATGTGGAGTGTGTCAGATGATTGGTTCAACCTCTATTAGTGATGGGGCACAATTGTTTAACATATCCCCAAAAACGACAAAAATGTAGCTATAATCTATATACAAATTGTTATTACACTTAACAAAATATTTGCCCTTCAATGCAGAAAATTGTGAGGGGTGGGTGCAAAAAATTTCATTCTTTATGTTCCTGAAATTTATAGCAATGTATGTAATCGAGACTGCCTCACATTTATTTTACGAAATTACTTATCCAACAGAGTAACACAATCAACATTACGTAACGTAACGAATCAGTCTTATGGTGATATCACACTGTTATTCAAACAGCAATTTTAGACAGTGGTAGCACCTCCAGGGAAAAATCACAAAAGAAAAGTCATCAAACAAATTTTTAATTTGTATTAAATACCTATACATGTAAAAATGCTGTCCCTATTAAGTAGGTGCCGGAGAGCACGAAATAAACATTTTTTTTAACGTTTTACACAAGGTTTTCTATTAATCAGTTCATCATTTCAGGAGTCCAGTTGACCTTACATGATAACCTCTTAAAAATAGTAACGTTGATGATGAATTTGATGATGAATTTAAACAAAAAATAAGATGAAATTTTTCATCAAAAAAGTGCAAATTTTTTACAGTGAAAAAGATTATTTTATTTAAGTAATGGTTTATTAGTTTTAGGCCTATATTTTAATCAATATCATATTATTCTGAAGTATAGTTTCCCATTATTCTACCCATCATATACCACAGTGGTATCACCAAAACTAAGACATTTGCCTGAGAGATTTTAAAGAAAACTCCCTATTAAGGGGATACCTAAATAGTGATAGCCATATGCAGGTGACACCCCTATTAAGATGGTGCCCCTTAATAAGGGTTCGGCTACCTAGGGGCTATGTGCTCTGTCTCTGTCTGTCATATTATCCCTGTGCTATCCATTTGAAATTCTGTGCTACACATTTGCAAGACTGCCCTACCTTTGAAAAACTGTGCTATCCATTTGAAAGTCTGCGCTAAAACTGCGAAGCGCATTTGAAAAAAAAATGTGCTATCCATTTGAAAGTCTATGCTACCCCTTTGCAAGACTGCACTACCTTTGAAAAACTATGTGCTATCCAATTTAAAGTATGCACTTTTCATTTGAAAAACTGCGCTAAAACTGCGATGCCCATTTGTAAAAGTGTGCTATCCATTTGAAAGTCTGTGCTACCCATTTGAAAGACTGAGGCTTTCCATTTACAAGGCTGCGCTACCACCCATTTGAAAAACTGCGATACCAATTTGAAAAACGGCGAGACATATTTTGTAAAACTGTGCTACCCATTTGAAAGTATGTGCTACCCATTTGTAAGACTGTGCTACCCCTTTGTAAGACTGTGCTACCCATTTACAAGAAACTGCGACACCTATTTTGGAAAACTGTACTACCCATTTCAAAGTCTGTGCTAACCATTTTTAAGACTGTGCTATCAATTACAAGACTGAGCTACCCATTTTAAAAACTGCGATACCAACTGTGCTACCCATTTGAAAGTCTGTGCTACCCATTTACAAAAAACTGCGATAGGCCTACCTATTTTGAAAAACTGTGCT